CCATCCAATCCTGCTCCATCCATCCATCCATCCATCCATCCGTCCATCCATCCAATCCTGCTCCATCCATCCATCCATCCATCCATCCATCATCCATCCATCCATCATCTGTCCATCCATCCATCATCCATCCATCCATCCATCCATCCATCCATCCATCCATCCAATTGTGCTGGCAGGCAGTTTTGCTGGAGCAAGGGTTATGGTATCAAGATGATGACTCCTGCAGCACTCTGAGGATCTCTGGAGCAGGGTACAGCACATGGGGGACATCAGATCATTTCCATGTTCATCAGAAGAAAAGCTGGTGAAATGTCTGTGCCCTGGCAATGGGGTCCTTCTCAGCACAGCTGCCCTGCATGGCCCTGCAGCCCTGGAAGCTAACGAGGCTGAGGATTCCAGACCTAAAGGGAGCCCACAAGGGAGATGGAGAGGGACCTTTTACAAGCACATGCAGTGACAGGGCAAGGGGGAATGGCTCCAGACTCATGGAAGAGCTTTAGATGAGAGATTAGGAGGAAGTTGTTTTGCTCTGAGGGTGGTGAGTCCCTGGCACAGGTTTCCCCGAGAATCTGTGGCTGCCCCATCCCTGGAAGTGTCCAATGCCAGGCTGGATGGGATTCTGGACAACCTGGTCTAGTGGAATGTGTCCCTAGGGGGTGGGACTAGATCTTTAGGTACACCTCTAAGCTCCCTTCCAACCCAAGCCATTCTGTGATTCTATGACTTACATAGAATGCCCAGAGCATGAGGGGATCCCTGAGCTGTGCTACCCCATGGGACACTGAAGAGCAGCTCCCGTAGCAGAGGAGGCTCTCCCCCCTGTGGCTGCATCTCCATTACTGACCATGGCCTTGAAGTCAAAGAAGTTTGGTCAAATGCTGGACTTCATAATTTTGGAGGGCTTTTCCAACCTTAGTGATTCTATGATTCTAAGCAAAAGATCAAAATTGTCTGCAGTCCATCTATCCTTGGGTTAAGGAGTTCATCTCTTCACATTCCTGCCCTTGGTCACTCTCCTGCCTCCAGGGCAGCTCCTGGAAGTAGAGACCTAGCACAAGCTCTTTCTGCCCACAACATCTCGGGTAGCTGCTGATTCCTTCTGCAGTAATTCACTGCCAAGATATAAGAGATGTGTTTTTTCACAGCAGCCTCTCTTCTCACTCTTCTTCACCCTTTTTCTTCTGACTCTTCTGAGCAAAGCTGGATGTGCATGCTCAAATTTATAGGGTAAATTTCTAACCGAAGCCAGAAAGCAGCTTTGGTTTTTCTTGTGGCACCTGAGTTATCCTTTTTATGTCCCAGCCATAATCTCATTCTTTATTTTCTTAACGTACCAGGATATCAGGGGAATTCCTCACTGACATGAAAGGGGAGGCTCCGTAGATAGGTGAGATTTGGAAGCCAACAGTTATTAATCACACTGAGACCAACAGTCTAAAGGGACAAGGGCCCTTAATGCTGAGACCTGTGCTGCCTTATCACTTTAATTTATCACTCCAGAACAGGAAGTAAGATAGATGAGACATTACAATGGCTTGAAACAAAAAGTAATAGAAGCCCAAAACACTTCTTGTAATCATGCACATAGCTAAGAAAAACGGAGGTTCTTCTATGTTCACAGTATTTGACTTTCAAATCTTCTGGTTCATTTATCATGTGGAGTTTCTGGGTAAAATTCTGGTTAAAGTTAACATTGGCATTCTGGGCTTATAATTCTGAATTCAGCTAGAAGGGATTTTGTGCTGTCAGTTTGGATCAAAATATAATATTCCTTAGCCATAGGAAAAAGTTCATGTTGGAGGTTCTCTCTCTTGAAAGTCGAAAAGAAGCCTTGTTCAGTAGAGTTTCTGGGATTATTGCAATATAAATACAATTTAATTAGTGAGAAGGAGAAACTCCTTACTGAAGATATGAATTATTAATTTTTTTTTTTCCAATTTATCACACAGTTTCTAGTCAAAGGGTGCAGTGCAAATTCTGTACAAACTAGAACTTCTCCAAAAAGTTTTTTGGTACAGAAGATCTTTGCCTGTTCCTGGTAATTGTAAATTAGTCAGCATATGTTACCCTGAATTTCTGCCCTATGCTTGCAGAAAGCAGATGTTTGAAGAATTTGGTATCACTAAGTGAGAACACTGAAATGGAAAAATCACATTATGGCAGGGCCAGGGGAACTCAATGCTGTCAATTTGAGGAAGAGGTGAATCTAAAACAACTGTTGTGTGCTTTGGTATTACCAAAATACCAAAATTCTTGGTATGTTCTTGGAGACCAACCCTTTCTGTGGAAAATGAATCAAGGAAAATGAATATTTGGAGTCACATTCCCAGAATATTGATATCTTTAGTGCTGCCAGCTTGCACAAGAACAGCTGCTATTTAGGCTGGCTGGGTTTGAGTGAAGGGTTCTGTTATAAATAAAATAAGAATTTTGACAACTAGGTCCCTTGGGTTAATGACAGTTTAATAAAAAATGAATATAATTTAGTGAATTGAATAGTAATTTGGTATAAAAGAATACAATTTAGTAAAATAATTTAATAAATTAAATTTAATAAATTTAACAATTCAATAAAACAATTTAATAAAAAATTACAATTTATATATATAATTTGCCAGTAATTAAGGATGATTAAAGCATAAGCAAAATTGACTGGGGTATGGGGAGGGCTTCCCACCCTGCCTCACATACAAAACAAAGCACTTCAAGCTAAACTTACATACTGTATGCTTATACATATTCATTAATGTTTCCTGTAAGTTTCCTCCTATTTCCGATTTTTCTGATTTTATGTCACTTTTCTTCACGGCACTTGCCTCACTTGTTCTTAGGGGGTCTCCAGTCTTCTTTTGGGAGTCTTTTGGTGAAGGCTTCTCCTCTTCCTCGTTGTCCTTTGGATAACCTTATAGGTTTGTGTGTGCATACTAAGCGTTGTGTTATCTAAGTCCACTAATTAGTCTGATATTTAATGATTTTTAGGCTCAATGCCTAAAGTCATTCTAATTTTGTCCATCTCAAGGCCATTTTCATCTTGGGACATCACTTATCTTCCAAACTACATCCTGTACCTCGATGGTAACATGTAACATCTGTAAAGGGGTGCATCTGCCTTGTAACACTGATTCTTTTGATTGCTTCTAATAATAACTTAAATAACAGTTACAATTTAGTCAGCACAAATCAATTCCATTTATTACAGTTCAGTCCTGGTAGCAATTCCTAGAACCAAGTAATCTTCTGGGATCCCCAAAAATGCATTTTTTCTGCTACATTCTGTAAGTGCAGCTGGTTTCCCTGTGCTAATTGCCATCACTGTCCCAGCCTGTTGTGGCAGTGGTGGCTGAGCAGCTCAGCCCAGCCTATGGCACAGGTGAGGCTCTGCTGCCAGGGGATGTTGTGGGGTGTGAATTCCGTGTCAGGGGGCACTGGGGAGTGCTGGGGACTGGCACACACCTTTGTTTGGAGCATAACCCTGCTGTGAAGTCACTGTCACACAGACTGTGCTGACACCCAGGGCGGGGGAACCAAGGGAAAACCCAACCTGGTGCTTGGGCTGACTGCAGGAGTGTCTACATCACCTTGTGCTTCCTTCCTGGAAATGATTACCCACCTCATGCCTTACTGCTGTCAACATTCAACTCCTCTAGAGATGTAGAAACCTTATTTTCATGCTGGAGGTGATCCCTCACCTTCAGGACCACTTTCCTGCCTGAAGGAAGGGCACAGGATAAGGGAAACAAAGGGGTTTTGTTGTTGGCTTGTTTGGTTTTGGCTGTGTTTGTTGTTGTGGTGGTTCAGGTTTCTTTTTGAGGAAATGTCTCCAATTTACTGTCCTGAGCCTGAAATATGAGAGTGAAATGATAGACAAATGTCCCAGTTTTGGAGGATTTTACTAACACACAGCTGCTGCCCTGAGCTGGGGCCACCCTCATTCCCTGGAGGGGCAGTGTGGGTGCGCAGCACAGGGGTTAAATTGAAGGCTGATCAGTTCTGTATGATGTCTGCTGAATAAACTGAGTTTCCCTAAGGGTCAGCCTCCACATCTTCCACTGCAAGGGCACAGGTGCTGCAGTGCTCAGCATAAACCAACCATGTGAATCCTTCCAGAATACTCTTCTTTTTTTTTTCTTTTTTTTTTTTTTTTTTGTTTCCCAGAGCAAAATTTGCAAGCAGAAACTCCTTGTTTGGACAGTCTGGGCTGTGGATTGTGTGATTAAAATAAAGAGGAAAAGGGTGAACTGCAGACTGGGAGAAAGCATGGATATTCTTAAATCCAGCTACAGTTTATGGCAGCCCAGGGCTGGGACTGCTGCTTGTGACTGGCTGGGGGACAGCTTGTACAGGGTGACAGAAAAAATAGATTATTCTGTGTGTCAAAGGCAGGGGCCAAGTCAAGATAAAAAATCTTATGGCTCTGTGGAGAGCTCTGGAGTTGCAGGGAAGAGGGGAAAGGAGAGGGTCAGGGACTCTCAGGTCACTTCCCTGCTGTAACTTTGTGCTGCATTCGCTGAGAGTTAAAACCCACTTTTTTAATTTGATTTGCCTCCTTGCCACCCCAAAAAAACCCACCCAAAAAAAGAGAGAAGAAAGCAGCAGATCTTACCCTCCTTCTGTGCCCTGTGCTTACAGGCCCTGAATTTAAAGCAGACCCTGGGAGCCCTTGCATGGGCAGGCAGTGCCAGGCTGGGGAGCAGATCTCAAATCCAGTCACTTCTCATCGCTGCTGCAGAGCCTGGGGGGACGGGGAGACTGCCCAGGTACTTCTGAACAGTTCCTGGGAAGTTTTTGTGCATGTCATTGTTTTTTATCATGTTTTCCAACTGCAGTTCCTGCAGTTACAGCAGCACAGACTTGTGTTCTGTGACTGCTGATCCAGAAATGAAAGTGAAAATGCAGCTGATAATGACATTGGGGCTCATTTAAGATGGGAGGGGCCAGTCAGAAAAGAGCTTTTTTCTGCACTCCCACTGATTATTTCATTCCCTCTGGAAGGGAGCTGGAAGAATTGGGATTTGGGAGGGCTGTACAAGCACTTGGAGAAGGGAAGGGACGAGACATGAAGGCTTCCCTGGACACAAAGAGATTCTGAGGTACTTCTGAGTCTTCTTCTTTAGAAGGTCCTGTTTTCCACTCTGTTCTCTTACAAATCCTTGCTTTCTTGTTTTGAAATAGACATTCAGAAACAGGCACTGAAAAAATCTGTGGCAGGAAGGGAATTATCAGTGTGCTGCAGATTTTCTCCATAGGGAAGAACACCTGGTGCTGGTGATTTTTGTACCTAAATAACACCACTTCTGTAGCCCAGACAGAACTTGCAGAGAGCTCTGTGTGAACTCACACTGTTCATGGGAATGCAGAAACCAAACAGCTTCCTCAAGTGGTGCATTTATATAAAAGTGTGAGTGACCTCGGAAATAACAGAATAAATGCATTAACAGTATTTTCCTGTTCATGTGATTTCTGAATAATTTTTTCCATACCCATTAACCTTCTTTTTTTTTCCCTCATAGCTCCTTAGCGTGTCTTGCTAATATTTTCCTTTGCAAAAGTGCCATCCTGTCATGTTTGCAAATCAGGGAGAATTTGTCAGGAGGGTTGCAGGAGAAATCCCTTTTCCTTTGCTTTCCAGTGAGAAGCTTCCACACAAGCTGGAGCTGACCTTGCCTCTCCCCAGGTCCAGCTTGATTAATGAACAATCCAACCTTGTGGCTCCGAGTTCAGAATGAAACAAAACAGAACCAAATGCTGAGTTTAGATAGTGATTTTAAAATAGAAGAAGTTAAACCAGTAAAACACGTCATTCTACTTAATGTGCTGTAGGCAGTAAAAAAAAATGTTTCCAATATTAAATTTAAATTAAATATTTATTAATTAATTAAAATTAAATTTAAATAACCAATATAAAACCGTATCTTATAATGGTTGCTGTGGAAATTTTCTTTTCAGAGCAGGTGGAGGAAAGCCAAAGTGTGCTTTACATTGAGGATTTTTTTGCAGAGATTTCTCAGCTCAACCACAACGTCCTGCTGGTTGCTGTCTCTGGCTTGTTGGAGCTGTGGATACAAACTGCAGTCATAATCTCACTCAGGAAAGAGCTGCTTTATCCCCTCACATGATTTTTGCTTTGCTTTGTTTATTTGTTTTTATCACATAGGTTTATTGATAGTGGTATACAGCGAGGGCAAAGTGACAAAGAAAGTGATACCAAAATCATCTTATGTAAATGCTTCTCATTTTCTGGGAAAGGACTTAGAGTAGAAAATAAAACCTGTAGGATCTTCTGAAGTCCCTTGAGTTTTATTCTGTTACTGCCTTTCTTCCTTCAGTATTATTTTCTCCAAACTGACTGTAACTTGATCCTTCTCCATGAGACCCTTAGGGTGCCAGATAAATCTTTCAGAAATTGTTTAGAAATTGTTTCCACCCAGCTGGTTTTGACCACAAAAGCCACAGACTAAAATGCCCCTAAAGCTACAGAGCCCAGGGTGTGCGGCTGGAAGAGGGACAAAGGGTGAGAAAATGCAGAGTTTACAGCTGGAGAACAGCACGGGATTTTGTGTGTCTGTGACTGTGCTTAGGGAGAACATTCAAACCCTGGGGCAGCTGCTCTGCTCTGCTCTGCTGGCTCCTGGGGGTGCTGGGGGGACTCTGCTTTGGTCACTTTGGGGTCCCCACTGGACCTGTGCCAGAGGCAGAAAGCCTGAGGACACATGCTGGGAAGGCAGAGAGCTGGTTAACCTGTGCTGGAGTAGGAAACATAGGTCAGGTTATTCCAGGTCATTTGATTTAATTTGATTTTAACTTTGAGAGAGAACCTTTGCTCTGATAGAAGGGATGCCATTTCATTGGAGACCAAATTTCCTTCTTCTCTTGGTAAACAATGGAGATATTGTCTTGTGTTTGTTACGATGCAATGGGGGGAAGGAAAAGTTTGAGAGTTTCAGGTACTGATGTTTCCTCCAATAGATCCTTTCAAAAGGAAAGCCAAAGGACCTTGTTACAGCTCTTCAGATTTCCTGTCAAATCCCTGCTGGTCATCTCAGGTGGGCTGGTTTGTGGGTCAGGTCTGACCTGGGGGAAGCTGACTGTGAGTGGCTGGTGTTTGCTGAAGGAGCTCCAGCTCTTCCTGTTTGTTCCTTTGTTCACCTACTGCTTGTTCCTGGTCTGCTTTTAGGGTCTGGCTTTGCTCTGTTAGAGCTCTGCAGAAAACTTCAGTTTCACTGACAAGTGAAAGTTTCTATTACTTTGAAAAAGAAAGGGAAGCAGACAAAAAAACTGGAAGGAAAATATCTTCTGTCCAAAGAATGTGTTTCACTTTAGATTTGAGTGTTCTATTGAAGTAAGTTTAAACTGATGGCAGGAGCTGGCTGAGACAGCTGGAGAGTCTCCAGATTTTAAGACAGGTCAGTGGGGGAAAACAGAGTTTGGTAGATGGTGTTCTGGCTGCTGAAACTGAAGAGAAGAGAGGGAGAAGGAAAGAGAAGAGGGAGGAAGATCTCTCCTCTCCTCTCCTCTCCTCTCCTCTCCTCTCCTCTCCTCGGGCCCAGCTCTGTCCAGCATTCCCTGGATTTTCATCCTGCACAGGGCTGTCCAGAGCCTGAGGTGTCCCAGGTTTTATTCCACAGGCAATTTTACAGCTGGTCTCAAGAACTGGGTCTGCAGCTGCCAGCAGGTGGAACAGGCATGTCCTGTGGGTTGTGTTTCTCCTGGATCACCTCTCCCAGCAAATCTAGAGAGATTAACATTTATTAACTTCTGTCAGATGTATAATTAGGAATTAGTGTATGACTAATTTGGAAATTTCCTCAAGGTACTTCTCAGGTAGTGACAGCAAAAAAGTTGTTTTAATGAAAGTTTTGATGAAAAGCTCCCAGGAGCAAAGCAGTTTGTGTTTTCCAGAGCTAGTCTGGTGAGGAAAGTTAGGTGAATTTTCTATATTTTTTTTTTCTTATTTGTGATGCATGTTTTAGTAAAATAATTGCCAATTATTTTTAAATACTTGCTAAGTTAATTTTAAACCCTTTAAATAAAACCATCACAACTTTGTGATATATGTTTTCATAAAATACTTGCCAAAGTCTTGACAGTTTTATTTAAATGATTTAAAATGAACTTCTAACTAAATCCAACGATGTTTTGAAAATGAATACCGAGTTACTGCTTGTTTGCTCATTTGACTTGAACAGATATTTCCCATCAGATCTCCTAAAGTAAAAATAGAATTTGACTTGACAATATTTCATTTTAGGCCAAGTGAAACATTCATTCAGCAAAATCCATCTTCCTTAATTAGTGTGTTTTGGAAGTGACAGCAAATCAAGCTGTTATTTGCTGCTCCTCCTGCGGGGTCAATCAGGGCCACTGCCTGGAGGAGCCTGAAGGACGTGGACATGGAAATCCTCAGGAGGGATTTTCCTCTCCCTGCAGAAGCACCTCGTGTCTCTGACTGCTGTGGTTGAGCCAGAGGTGGAAAGGGCCGAGTTTGGTCCTTGCAAGGTCCTTGTGGAGAGCAGTAGAAGCTGAGCAGTGTGAGGGTTCCTGTGCCTCGCTCCCATCGCTGTCACCTCTGCGAGCTCTCTTTTTGTCTGGACAAAGAGAACAGAGATGCTGGGTGCTAAGCACTGCCTTTAATTCCCAACAGGGAGAAGACTGAGGCCTGCTGAGCCCACCCTGGCACTCTGGAGGGTCTGGGAGAGCTCCAGCCCCACTGCAGCTGAGCCCCCCGGGCAGCCCCATGGACTCTCCCCACCTCCTGCACTTGGGTTTCCTGCTCCTGGCTCTTGCTGCTCCCCGTCCAAGTGAGTCTAGGTGGTTCCCAGAAACTTTCTGGTTCACCTCACTGCTTCTCCTGCACTTCCATAGCTCAAAACCTCTGAACCGTTAGGAGAAAGCTCAGCTGTGCTTAAAACCAAGACCACAAAACCTCTAAGGTGAGAAGAGAAATTAAGGTTGATGTGTTTGAGCTGTCACAATCACCTCTTTTGGGAGTGGTGACTGTTTGGGTCTGTCAGATGCAGTGAGTCCTCTCCCAAAGGACTGACTCTTTCCCAGGAGAGTCTGAGGGAGGAAACCTGGGATGCTACACCCAGAGTGGGCAGCTCAGCTCTGAACTTCAGTGGCCTTGGGATCTGGCAGCATGTTGGAGGGACACCTGGTGGGATTGTGCCAAGGAGCTAGGGAAGGAAAGAGCACAAGAACAGATGAGCTCAGCAAGAGAAACATCTTTCAACTTCCCAAACTGCCAGTTTCCCAGTTAAAGAAACAGTGGAAGCAAACTCCACTCCTCCAAGTGGAGGAATTCTATCCTGTTTCTACTCCAAAAATTATCCTGGGAACTGGCCCCAATACTGTATAAAATTTGCCCATTGGCAGACAATGTTTCCAAAACCATGATTGAACTTGTCCACCAAAACCCATCCTCTTCTCTAACACTGAACATCCAGGGAGAAAACCTGTGGACATGTTTTTTCTTTGTTTTTTTCTGATTTAGGTATTGCCATGCCCACTGTTGGCCCTGCTGAGGGGAGCACAATTGTGACAGTCTACCACTGTAAGGACTACAAGAGCTGCACATGCAAGTCTAGGGAAAATAATTTTAAAAACTTTACAATAATCGCTGAAACACAAAGCAAGACGTTTTCAGATGTACTAATTGAGCTGGTGACCAACGAAACACACATGACTGTTTGCTTTGAGCAAAAAAATTGCTGTCTTGAAGGAATTTATGGCGTCTTCTGGCAGAAAGCTGGGGGAGCAGGACTCTCCTGTGGCATTCTGAATTGTGGAGGTATGCAGTGTTGGGAGCCTGGTTATTAACTGATGGAAAACCTGTTTCTGGGTAGGAAACTGAACTGTTCTTATTTGGGCAGACAGCAAGGCTTGTGAGTTAATAAACTGGAATGAATGGGTTTCTTCTGTGAAAAAAGTCATAAAGTAATTCACAAAAGTAAATTCAGTTCTTTCAAGTCAAACACTGCTTAAAACTACACTAGGAGAGATCCAGATAAACACATTACTCTGATTTATAAAGATATGCTTTTATTTTAGGGGTTTTTTTGGCAACAGCTATTCCCATGGTGAAATTCTGTGCAATGTTGCAATGTGTGAATTCCACCAGAGCACACCCAGACCCAGGTCCAGCCTCGAGAGCTGCTCTGTGCTGCTCTTCTGTCCAATTCAATGAACACCCAGGAGCATCTTTCCAGCTTCCTCACAAAACTGCCAAAGTCAGGGATTCAAACCCTTGTCAGTGCATGGGGCAAGTGGTTCCATGAGGGTAAAACTTCATGGTGGCTCAGTTTGTAGAGGTGTGGCTTAGTTGAGCTCCATCTAAGTCAGTGACATTTCTGTTTGTAGTTGGTTCTCTCAAAGCAGCTTTTATCACCTCTCCTGTTAGAGTTAGAACATCCTTTCTCATTTTCTTGCTGACAGAAGAAAACAAAGAGTTCTCCCCTTTGTGTGCCTTTATTTAGTCCAACAATTCTGTATTTAATTTCTGGCCACCACAAACCATTTCTCTCCTGTATTTATGATCACCACTGCAAAATATCTACATGCTACTGTGTAAAACATTGGTGACACTAAAACACTCACAGTGAAATGTGGAAATTGCTGTAGACAGGGATGCCTGTATCCCTTGAGAGGGGAAAGGGTGGATGTATAGGTGAAGGTAAGAGGGAATTTTCCAGATTCTCTTTGGAGAAGAATAAGCTCTATAATGGCACAGTGGCATGCAGGGTTGGTAGGAGATGAACTCCAGGGTCTTAGAGATTTACTCAGCTACTGGATTTGCTTGTTGTCTTCTTTGGTTCCTGTGGGTAAGAGGCAGCTGCAAAATTTTTGAATAGATTTTTATTGCATTATAAGGTAATGATAAGTTTTTTAGATATGTTTTGTTATTCTTAATTGCATGTGAAAACTTTCCTACCCTCTTCAAATATTTAACTTCATTTAACTTCAACTCATCAGCTTTAATGAGAAGGAAATCTAATGACAATGGTTGGTTTGGACTGTTAGGGAATGAAACATCTCCAATTCATAGCAATCATAGCAATCTCCAACTCTTTGTACAATATAATCCTCTTTTTAAATCTATTAACCTCTTCAACATCTTTAGCCCTTCACTGAAGATTTCTCCATGATCCATATTAATAATCAAAACTTTTTGCCTTTCATATTTCTCAGAAAATGGAAGAGGTAACATCAATACTGAGGAGAAGAATATTTGCTGTGAAGCAGAGACAAATATCTGGAGACACAACCCTACCCTGAGGTGCTACACTCAAAAGTCACATTCAAAACTCATCACACTGCCAGTCGAGTCTCCTGGTGAGGGAATTCTAGGTTAAAAACTTCTTGTGCTTGTTTGCCTTTGGTTTTGAGAGGGGTTTGTCCAGACAGCTTTATGTGAACAGAGTTTGGGCGGGGAGATGTCCTGTACATCCTTGAGTCCACACATGCTGCAGCCATCCAGTCTCAGAGACTTTGCCTTGGCAAATGGACATGCCCAGTCCTGGACAGAGATGTCCCCAGGCTCAGGCTCCTGTAATTATACAGGGACAGACAGAGGGATGCTGAGGGAAGGGGGTACATGATGGGTGTGTAACAAGTTCCCAAGAACTGACCATATCTGTAAGTGCTAAATGAGACTGTGCCTCCAGACTAAGACAATATTTGTCAACTAAAGGTGACATTTATATATTCAAATTTCTTTCATGCTAAAAACCCCTGTCATCTTCCTTAGTTCATGGACAAAAAAAGGTTTTTAGAAACCAGTCAAAGTAGATTTCATTATCTGAACACTTCATCAAGGATGGGTCTCACACCACTTGTTGTTGGTTATTTTGGATAAGATTGATGTTCAAAGGTATCTGTTGTGGTGGGGTGACAAGAATTTGCTTTGAGTGTTGATAAAGTGAGCTCTGTGGCAGGTACCTTCTGTAAGATGTGATGCACCAGAGGCTCTTGGTTCTCTCATTCATCTCAGCTCCTTCTCTCTTCATCAGAGGGGACCAGTTCCTTTGTGTGCTGCTTATGAGGTAGCTCATGGCTTGGCAAGCCTGCTTGCTTCACTTGGGTGCTCTGTTTTCTTCTACTCTGCAGGTAATCCTGAACTTCTCACCAGCAGCAAAAAGACCAGCATTGGCATCTTGCTCTCATTCCTGTTTGTTGGGGTTTGCGCAGGATGTGCCGCCACGTATTACTTCCTGCGGCGGCGGCATGGCCAAGGTACAGTCTGACAAATTCTGTGTCTCCCACACCTGAAAGTGGAAAAAGCATGAGGGGTTTTCCTCCTGGATCTCATCCCCATTGTGCTGCTCATGGAGTTCTTAATGACCTTCACTGGGCTGACAGCTGGAATGAGCTCTCCTCCCGCGACAGGGCACATCCGGAGGCTTCGTTAGGAAAAACAAGCACAGAAGTGTTGGAGTCAGAGACACAGAAAATATTCCTTTATCTGTGCTGACAGGCTCAGACGCTCAAGAGAACACTGAGCTTAATCTGAGACCATGGAGAAAGCTCCTAAAACTAAGTGGAGAAACTGGGAATGTGAGTGTGTAAGTTAGATAGAATTACATTAAGTCACTGGGTGAGAAAGTTTGAGTTTAGGGTTTAAGCTGTATTAGTGAATGAGAGACAACATGGAGGACTCAGGGCGTTGTCCCTTTCTCCTTATTTTTCTTCCTCATCTTCTTTTTCTAGGGTTTTTGGGCAATATTAGGTGATTGGATAGAAGAATTTTTTGTGGGACACAGCTTTTTGGTTATTGGGTTATAAGTGAAAATAAGTTACTTGGCATTTCATTATTGGGTGGGTTGACACTCAAAAGACCTTAGAGAGATTTTTTTGTCCCTCCATTTTGTAGTTTGTTAGCCCAGTGTTCATAGCTCCTCACTGTCTGTAAATATGGAATATAGATAAGGAAGAACAAACAATGAAAGCAGTTTCTCTTTCGTTAATCTTGCTCCTGAGGAAAGGAGCTGAGCTATAAGTGTTGCACCCTGACAAGAAGGAATTTCCTCACTGCTTCCTCCTGAAACATGGGGTAAGCACTGGCAGGGCCAAGGAGTCACAGGGCTCAGCCTTCCCTCCATGGGATCCTTGGAGCAGTCCCAGACTGCAGCATTGCTGTGCAGCTCCCCTGGCAGAGCTGTGTCCCAGCCAGGACACTGATGGACATCCAGCCTTGGGCTCAGAGTGGATCCCTCTCTCAGCCCTGCCCACTACAGAGCCAGCTTTCATTTAAGAACAAATATTTCCCTAAATTCATCCAAGAGGGAAGTTTATTTTGCATACCAAGATGCATGGAGAGAGGTAGGATGGGTTCTGAGGAGATTTCCAAATCACTTCCTACCCTGCCATACAGCTTTCCCCCTCATCCCGTGTCCACTTGGCTCCAGGGATTTTGGCACCCTGTGTGTGCCTGAGGCTGAGATTCCTCTCACTTACCCAACTAGTCCATCCCTTAGAAACTGATGCTGGTTGTTTCTTTCTGAGAGTCAAAGGATTAAATTTCCAAGTGTGATTTTGTTTCAGGAGGAGCTGCACAAGTGCTTGCAAAGCCCAGCAAAGGGAGCACAAAGCCACTCTCACTGTTGTTGTTACATCAATAGATTAATGAGTAAATTGGTGTGAGGGGTAAAAAATTTACCAATAATGACTGCCCTGAGGTCCTGGCCTGGGGTGCAACGTCCAGTGATGTCTCAGGTCTGCCCTGGAGCCCCACTAAGGCAGAGGCTGATGGGTCACAGCACCAGGGCAGGGTCACAGCAGAGCCCTGAACCCCTGTTCATGGCATGAAGCTGCCCCCTCTGTGGAGCAAGGCCCAGTAGCAGATGGGAGAGGGGAGGTGCCTGGAGGACTTCACAAATACAGGCCTTTTGTTTATAAGTCTAACTGGAATCTACCAGTTTCTTTGATGGCCTCACAGATTTTTATTTTTTTTTTCCAATTCTGCAGCTCTTAGTCAATACAGACAGACTTCTAATGAAGGAAACCTCGAACATCTTTGATAACCATCTGCACGAGAGAAAACCTCTTTGCCAGCAGCATCCTCCTCCTTTCTTACGATGTCCAGCCACCAGCTGAACACAGACTGATTTTCCATGAGAACTCCTGCTCATGTATTCACAAAAACTCTCTTTTTTACAAATGTACCTTCACCACATCCACACCTTCCCCGAGCACTGTGACTCTCATCCAGCTCCAGGCCTTTGGGAGCAGCACAGGCAGCAGCAGGAGCCCCCATCCTCTCCTGGTGTTGGCTGCAGACAGCAGGAGCCCCAGGGAGTGTGGCTGACTCAGCAGCACAGGCTGGAACCAGCTGAATTCTCTGTGCCACTGTGTTGTGAGGTGCCTCAGGGAGGCAAAGACTTCGTTTCAGAAATGTGTTTGTCTACGTGAGAGGCGTGGCTGGAAGCCAGGCTACCCTGAATTTTGACCTCCTGCTTCGAAGGATGGGCAGTGTGAGCCCTGGATGAAGTTACAACACCCCTGACCTCTTGGGAGGAGTGGCCCAGGAGTTCTGATTGGGTTTGAGTCCCTGGGGGTTTCTCCCTTGTGTTTCTAGTGGTCCCTAACCCTAAACTCCACCCTCAAAGGTGGAAATCCTCAAGAGTTCTGTCCCTCAAAACCCCTCACCCTGCTTTTGTTCAGGGCTCTCTGTCTCTGAATGAGTTTGTTCCCACGCTGAAAAAATGGTTTCATGAACAGGGTCCTGTCTCTGCTGGTTCCCAGAAACTCTGGATTCCCTGGCCATGATCCTGCAGCTGTGGACTGCAACACCACTCAAAGTGTGAACTGCTGTGGAACAATGTCTTTCACTTGGTAATGCCACAGCAGCACGCAGGTGTCTGTATGTTTTTTAACTCTCAGGTCATCTCTGCATTCACCAAAGCCTTTTCACAATTGGCTGGTTGGTTGAGCTGGAGCAGTTTGGGTTTTTGAAGAGATGTTTGATTTTTGCCCCCACCCGCAGGCTGAGGACGTGTGTGTGTGTTTGTTCCTGTGCAGGGCTGGGTGGGAGGCTGTGTCCAGCTCTCCCAGCAATGGCATTGTGTCACTGAGGCTTTGTTCTCCCCCCAGGATGAAGGTTGGTATCAATCTTCTGACAAATTAGGCAAGTTTAGACAGCATGAGATGAATACAGCCCCTCAGCAATCCCACTGGGTACTTGGTGTCTTTAAATCATTCCCCATTCCAGCCTGACTTGAATAAATCCTCACCTTTTGCATTGGATCTAATTTAGAATCAGGACTGTTTAGCAAAAATCAGTGGCAGCACAAGTGGAAAAGCAAATATCTGAAGCAATGTGAATGTTTGCCATTTTTTCATGGTTTAGTTGCCCATAAACCTGGAGCTGGAACTTCCAGCAGGAAATCCCAAAGGATATAGGACATTGTGTCCCTCTTCAACTTTGTTACAATCCAATCTAAAAGGAAAGTTTCTTAATGTAAAAGAACCAAATAATTTTAATAATTAACTTTTAGAAAAACAGAAGAGCCTCTGTGCTTAAATTTACATTTTTTTTGGCAAAGGAGACCAATGCTTTTTTGGGTTGGAGGGGATTTTTTCCCCAGTCAGGGTTTTACACTCACACTTTTAACTCAGATCTCAGCTGATATGATGCAAATTTTCAATTTTAATATGGTAGAATTCAGTCATATGTTCCTGAAGGGTTGACAGTCCAAGTATTCCAAAGCTGCTAGTATTTACTGAGTTTGTGGTCTTGATTCAGTTGTCAGCTGTGTTTTACCATGAGGAATGTTATGTTAGCTCAATAAATCAAAAAACTAAGGTTGCCTGTAAAAAGGCCAGACTGTGGATGAACTAAGAAATAGGAGGAAAAATACTTTTCCACTTTATGTAGCATCTTATCACAGTTGCACTTCCATTTTTTTCCCCTCAACAAAACCTCTGGAAGCTTTTGACAGAGCAGAGCTGTGTAAAAGGAGTGAGGAAGGTTTTCTTTGGAAATTGCATTGACTTGAGGTGTTCATGAGGTTAATCATGTGCAGATTTAATTTCTACTCTGTAACAGCAGTTGAGGCCAGAGAGCTGGATGTGTTTTGAGAGGAAAAGTTCTATGGGCACCTCAGTGAGAACAGTCAGGAAACACGAGTCACAGACTGATCTTGATGTCTCACTCACACACTCTGTCCTTCACATCTCTTCTTCCTACAGGTGATTATGCAGATTGTGATATTTGGGGACATCCCTACCAGCTGTTCCACTTTGCCCCTTTGGGGCTGTGTTGTGCTGCTGCACACCAAAGGTGCTACAGGAAAACTGTAGAAACTCAGGAAAACTCAGGAAAAGAAGTGAGAACTTGCTTTAAAAATCGACAGTGCTTGTCCTCAGCAAGTGCATTTTGCTCTTGAATATGCACATGGAGTTGGGTGTTTTTAATCATAGGATCATGGAATGGTTTGTGTTAGAAGGGCCCTGAACAATCATCTTACTTTTCTTATGGAAGTAAAACATGACAGACAATACTAAGAGACCTGACTCACCAAAAGCCATAATTCCATAGCTGTTATTTCATTTGAGGTGTGATATTGTAAATAATCACAATAAAACTTTTTCTTAAACACTGTCTGTTCATGGTGTGGTGGTGCATCCTCCCTGTTCCAGGCCACACTTTGATCTAAGAAATGCTTGGCCTTGATGAGCAGCCCCTGGCTCGGCTCCTCTGGGGTTTATCACAAGCACTGTCTGCTCCCAGGCACTGCTGCTGCCCAACGAGCTCCTGCTTTCTTTAGGAGCAGCCTTGGGAATGATTTTTCTTGTCTGAATGGCACAACATCTCTGTTCTCACACATCCAAAGAAGGCCGGTCTGAAGTGGGGCCAGGGTGAAACTGTTGAGATTAAAGCCCATCTCTTGTGACCCCATAAACAGCGGTGACAAACGGGACCCTTGGAGCTCTCCTGGACCAACAACCTTCCTCTGAATGGGGCCTCTCCGAGCTGGGATCTCTCCCATTTTCTTCTTTTGGTGGATCCCCAAATAACAATGGGTCCTGGGCTGATCCCCCAATGCTCAATCCTCCCCTTGGGGAGACACAAAAGCATCTGGAGTGAGCCTTTCCCTGCCCTCCAGGGGAATTGCTCACAGGTGCCTTGCACTGATTTTTGTGTCTGTGTGCAGGTGCTGTGGCTTGGGAGAAATGCCAACAAGGTGCTCACACTGCCTTCTTTAAGTGCTCCTGTCTTAGAGCCAATCTCTTCTCTTAGAAATTGTTGGTTTTTCTACCTCTTAGATAGACAAGTAGAATTTAATTGGCTTTCTGGGTTGCAAGTTTAATTCTCACTTTGAGAGAAGTGGCAGAAAAGGCTTTATTGTCTCGGTAAAGATTGAAATTATTTATTGTCTTGGCTTTGCAATGAAGTTAAGGGAGATGGAAAAGCCTGAAAGTTTCAGGTAATGTTTTCTCAAATAGATCCTTTTAGCAACAAGATCAAAAGACCTTGTTAGGGTTCTACAGATTTCCTGTCAAATCCTCTTTCTCCTGCTGGTGATGTCAGGTGGGCTGGTTTGTGGGTCAGGTGGGGGCAGCTGGGTGTGAGTGGCTGGTGTTTGCTGAAGGAACTCCAGCTCCTCCTGCTTGGGAATTATTCACATCTGCCAAGATGCAGATCAAATCTGCAGTGCTGGTATAATAACTGAGGGTTTTCCTGAAGTAGTGGAGCATCTCTCATCTCCTTTCTCCTGATAAAGACAAGACTTTTGCATCTGCAGCCACCAATCTAAGCCCGTGGGAGTCTTGACAAACTGAACTGATTGTACCAAGCCTCTGAATTTCCAGGGGAACCACAAATGGGAGACAACTGCCTGACTGTGTCACTGTGAGGAGAAAATTTGAGCCTCCCTTTTCTCAGATGTCTTCAGAGGGCAGGTAGACAGACAACAAAGTTGTCTCCCCATAGACAACTTTCTGCTGGGGGCTGGGGGGTGCTCAGGAGCAGGAAACCAGGGCTGGTTTAAGTGTGAAGAACCCCAAGATGCCCCTCCCAGAGAAATGGCTCTTCCCCTTCTATCACAATCATTGTGATACAAAGGCAGAAGCAAAGCTCTGTTTCAGCAGATAGCTCAAGTAGCTGGCAGGCAACAGCCACATAAGAACAGCTTATGACCCTTTCCTTGGGACTTTAACTCATTGGTCTGATTGAGGGAACAGCTAAAAAGACCTTTGAAAATGCTGTGGATGTCATGTCTCCCAAATGCATTCCTCTTTCTTCTGCTCCTCCCGTGCTTCCCTGCCCAGAATGGTACGTACAGCATCCATGCTCTTACATTTCTTACATTTCAATATCTCCTTTCCTTGTTTCCAACCTATTCTAAGCTATATTTGTCTTAGACAATGCAATGCTCTCTATTTAATTTTTCATCCCTTGCTTTTGGTGTAGTTTCTTTCAGGTGTTTCCCATCTGATCTCTCTATTCCTCGCTGTTCATTGCACAAGTACTCCCTGTTCAATTTCTTTGGATACTGGGGCCATTCCAGAACTCCAAGGGTCTCATTCTACTTTTGCATGCCTTTGTTTCTTAAAATAGATTGAACTTACACCTTCTGCAACCCTCTTCCTGTACTGAATCGGAGAATCTACATTATCCAGTTCCCTGATGTTATTAAATGCCACAAATGTGTTTTCTTCCCTTTTCTGCCACTTTTTCTTTTAAATTCCTGATTTAGACCTGAAACCAATTATCAGGGTAATTTTAGTGAAGTTTGTATTTTGAGAACTAATAGGATTTTCCTGGGAATCTACAGAAAGAACTACATTCTCTCTGTGAGTGACAGCAGGCACTTTTTTGCCAAGGCCTCTGAAGCTTGGGAAGGTGCTGAGTTGCCCAGGTCAGTGGGCATGAAAGGCACTACAGGTGCCAAGAAATGACATGTCCAGCATAGGGAGACCGAGGTCCAGTCTCACAGAGCAGTTCTGTTGATGGAGGAATTGGTTTTGAAAAGTTCTTTGATGTGAACAGACCGAGGGGAACTCTGATATTACAATTTCAATTGCATTTCTTATTTTTAGGTGGAGGAAATGAACAGTCAACAGACGTTATCAGTGCTTGGGAAGGAGACTCCGTCAGCATAACTTGTCCAATGAATGGTTCACAAAATCAAGTGGGGATGCACTTGAAAACTGTCAGACAGAATCTCAATGTGATATATTTCCCCAAGGAGAAACTTCCAAATATCAATCCTGACTTTGCTAATCGCATCGAGTATTCAAAGGAAGGGGAGAATCTCAGGATAACCCTGCATGGGTTACAGCAATCCGATTCCAAAATTTACCTGTGCTCTCAGATTGTTAAAGTCAATGACCATCACAAAGACCTATATGGGAAGAAAACCATTGTAGTGGTCAAAGGTATTGCAATTCCACCTTTTATGTCACGAATTAGTAAATACAGATCTGTATTTTAAATCAAAGATTGGAAGAAGACACGATGGGAGTCTGACAAAATGTTTTCTGTGTCTGCTCAGGTCATGTACAGATTTGAAGGATTGTGTGGGTTTGCTCCCTGAAACAAGGAAGAAAACACATGAGATAATATGGTACCAAAAATCCCCCAAACCATCCT